TATGTGATGATTACAGGTGTTCAAATAGTTTTTGGGCCACTGTAAGCAAATCAGACGTTCAATGCAAAGTTTTAGGGACTTTTCTTTCAAATGAAAGCTATTTATTTTGCCATATGTACTATGAACTGTAATACACAGACGTATTTGTAAGAAATTTATATTGGATATCCCCTTCAGCATGCTGCTTTCTGTTTCATGACCGAAAGTTTGAGGGGGGAGGGGATGGGGTAACATCACATGCTTACGCCTGACTTTCTGTCATCACTTCCCTATTTACACAAACAGTGTGGTAGTCAACGTACTCTTTTCAAATATCACAGACAAAGGGAAGTTGACGTACCCATTCAGTACCCCTCAGCTAGGACAGAAATAATCACACCACACACGTACTGTCTGTTTTTTTTTGAATACTCGCTTGGAAAAATTCTTTCATTCTTTACTTCTATTGTCTTTTACTGTACAATAAGCAGCATATTGTAAATTACTTTATGTTGTATGACTCATTAGAAAGAACTATTCATGATATGTGTACAGAGAACCTCAAAATTACCCCAAATTATCATTTGTTCTTCAACTTCATTCTTTTCTGATATATATAGTTGAAATGTCATGTGATTTGAAAAACCCATTTTATTAAATATCACCTTGATAGTGAAAAATCTGATATATGTAAGCAGGCAGTGTTACAAGAGTATATGAAGTATTTGAAGATATTATCTACTGACTGTTAATTGGTTAACTGTGAGTTACCTTACCATATAAGGTGAAAACAAATTGAAGGTTTAACTTCACATATGTAATTTATTGTACAACACTAGAAAATACATTAGTAAATGTTAAAATAGCACTAGAACTATCATTCCATCAGCTGCATGTACTCATTTCAAACATGAACTGTGGTCATGTAGCAAATGCATTTACAGTACACTTACCACAACAATTCCCTTGGACCAACTCGAGGGCCTTTCTCAGGAACTCTATGATGATAAATCATAGTTCACTCATCAGCTGAACCCATAACCTTTTAGGTACCTTCCCAGATGTTTAACCCCTAGCTACACCAACATTTTTAGAGATAAATGCTGAAAATGATTAAATACTATCTCTGATTCATTTAAAGTTAAAGCCTCCGAGGCTGAGACAGCTATCACGTTTTACACAACAGAATGTACATTCATAAAGTAAAGAGGATCACTAGTACCACCAAACTGCTAAATTAATTGTTTCCAAACAGGTTTCCCAGACACTCCCCCTTCTGCTACTAACAGTTAGTCCGGCCCCAAACTCACTTTTCTGATTGGTCAGCACTCCCTTAATTGTTTTTTTTCTAAGGTATGCCGAGAAGACAAAGGTTTTTTTGGGGGGAGGGGGGGGACACACCTGTTTTCTGACTTCTGTTCAAACTCAAAGCAGATTTAAAGACAACCCAATCTCATGAGAAAACGCCATTTCATAACTATTTCATAAATTTGTGGCAAATGTGTATGAATCTGTATGATTTAAGTCATACAAAAACATAATATATATAGGGGAAAAAGTAAGCATATAAGTTCACCCCAAATTAACATTTGGTTTACAATCCTAATACACATTTGCAGGGCCGTAGCTGGGTTTTGCGGGGCCCCGTTGCAGGTTGTACCCGTGGGCCCTTTTTAAAATTGTTTAATTTGTATGTTTGTTCTATTTATTTATTTGTGCTATTTACATAATAAAAAAAAGTCTGTAGGTGTCCAGGTAAAGAAACCGAACAATCAAATGTAAAATAGCATTGCATTGTCTTCACTGTATAAATGAAATATAGATGAATTGTTGTTAAAATTACAAAGCAATTCAGTTAAGAGCAGTGGGTGATTTTCTCTCTTTCATTTTCTTGGATTAACTTTAAGGACACCAACAGCAGCTAGTAAACTAGGCACGGTCACTTTAAAGGGGTCATATGACATTGCTAAAAAGAACATTATTTTGTGTATTTGGTGTAATGAAATGTGTTTATGTGCTTTAAGGTTCAAAAACACATTATTTTCCACATACTGTACATTATTGTTTCTCCTCTATGCCCCGCCTTTCTGAAACGCATCGATTTTTACAAAGCTCATCGGTCTGAAAAGAGATGTGTGCTCTGATTGGCCAGCTATCCAGTGCGTTGTGATTGGCCGAATACCTCAATCGTGTGACGGAAATGTTACGCCCCTCACCATACTGTGATTCTCTGTCCCGGTGCGACGAGACAAAACCAATAATACCCATTACAAACGAGGCATTTGTAGCATCCAGTGGGGACATAATTACGGATTATAATGACTCATACTGTCTTTTTACACGTTGCATTGCATCGCGCTGCGTAAACATAAAACCATGTGTGCATTTGTGAACGGAGAAACGACAAACAACAAGCGCTACTCTACACTGCTCAAAACACGCGTTTGAATCATCAGTGGCAAATTTTTTAAATATGAAAACTTACTTACAGGCTGTGAGTCAGCATTATTTGTCAGAACACCGGCATTGTAGGCTACACTCCCAGAATTTGTCCTCCATAAAATGCGCTGCACACATCTGAATATTTAGTTTGAACTGTTCTGGAACAGTGTTGTAAATTCAACTTAAACCACTGATTTCTTGTTGTGTCCTCTATAGGAAGATCAAAAAAAGTAGTTTAGGTTTCACAACAAAGCACCGTCTCCACGACATGGTGGCAGCGGCAGCAACAATACTACAGCGATAATCAAAGTTACGCCTTCTTTCTTTGCGTAAACATTTGGGCGGTGTTATGCAAATCTTCCAACACAGTGATGTAGACATGTGGGGGCGTGTTTAAACGAGGCGTTTTAGGAGTGCGTGGACGAGTCTTAACTTTTATAAAGAATATCTCTTTGGGTTTGAGACTTTAGTCTTTGCAACTTTAGGGATCTTATCTGTTACTCCCAGAATTTGTCCTCCATAAAATGCGCTGCACACATCTGAATATTTAGTTTGAACTGTTCTGGAACAGTGTTGTAAATTCAACTTAAACCACTGATTTCTTGTTGTGTCCTCTATAGGAAGATCAAAAAAAGTAGTTTAGGTTTCACAACAAAGCACCGTCTCCACGACATGGTGGCAGCGGCAGCAACAATACTACAGCGATAATCAAAGTTACGCCTTCTTTCTTTGCGTAAACATTTGGGCGGTGTTATGCAAATCTTCCAACACAGTGATGTAGACATGTGGGGGCGTGTTTAAACGAGGCGTTTTAGGAGTGCGTGGACGAGTCTTAACTTTTATAAAGAATATCTCTTTGGGTTTGAGACTTTAGTCTTTGCAACTTTAGGGATCTTATCTGTTCACGAACAGCTTGTAACACTCCAAAGAGAAAGGAAAACTTGAAATTGCATCATATGACCCATTTAAGAGATATGCATCCAAGATACACATCCGATTTCTCTCTAAACTGTTTATGTTCACTTTAGACACATAACCGACAGTTTTTTTTCGAGGATACTCTCCTATACGGGTATTTCGACATAATTTTGTATGTATTTGTCGGTTCAAGAGCAAGAAGAGGCAAATTTAAATTTGTGGTTTAAGGACTGTAAGATGACTGTGTGTGCTGTGCGCCGCGGTGCTAAATTGGGCATTTTCACTTTTTTTCTTTTTGTGTTTACATGTTTAAACTGGCCATTTGTATTTGTTTGTTCAGGCACAGGAGTACGCGAGGGAGAGCTCGGTTCGCTGTTCGCGCGTACTGAGACGCAGTTCTGTCTGCACACCGAACACGGCGTGCGAGTATTACTGAGTTGATTTTTTCTGTGTCTTCTGATTGAATGCTTTAAACTCTTTTGAATGTTTAAATTGGCAAGGCTTAAAAATATG